GGTAAAAAGTGATATTTTTGACTTCTTGTTAAAACCGCAAGTCCGATTGCTTTGATATATTACATATATAGGTACTACATGTAGACCTCTCTCAGATTTGTTTGTTTTGTGATGATATCTTCAATTCTCTATTTATTTTGGTGAATATTTTTGTAATTTTTGGTAAAAAGTGATATTTTCGACTTCTTGTTAAAAACTGTAAGTCTGATTGCTTTGATACTATTCATATTGTTCATTTTCTAATGATGTCTTCAGTTCTTTAATTGAAATGTGCATTGCTAACAGCGGAGCTATCTCAGCCAATAGGCTGCTTGTTTATACAAGTTCTGGACTAGTAGAAGCATGGTTGATTCACAGTCAGCCTGGAAAACACTGTATAAACATGTTGGCTCCTTCACTGTGTGATGGAACTGGTACACAAGGTTCGTTTTCTTTGTCGTCGTCATCACTGATTTCTGTTATTGAGTACAGTTTACAATTTCCTCTTATGCCAACATCTGAAACCCGGGATTTGCTTCATCAGTGTTCAGCCACTGTTCAATCTCTTCGCGGTCCGCTGGTGGAAGTCTGTCGGTGTTCGTGCCGGGTTCTGTGTCACTTTCAACAATAGCACATTCGTCAGTGACATTTAGCTTCAATTTATGCCATGCATTGCGCAATGATTGTTTGCTGAGTTCATAGCAGGTATCTTTGAGAGTCACGCTTTTCACGCATTCAAGGATTGAGACATCCTCTGTATTATCCACGATCAATTTTTGTAACATTTTCCCCTTACAACGGCGTTTTGTGACATGCCTTGATCCATTGGTTGTAACAATGGTATCGTATTTAGTGGTAGAAACATACACTTAATCATGCCATCCCGACTTTGTAGTTCATCTAAACTGGGATGTGACGGCGCATTGTCAATGAGGAGAAGAGCTTTTTCCGGTTGTTGTTTCTGTTGTAGATGACGTTTTACAGCTGGAACAAAATCACCATGAAATCACCTTGAAAACAGTTCACCACTCATCCATGCAATGCTTTGGTTGAGATAATGGATAGTCAAATTTTCCATGTTAACATGTTTAAAACATCGAGGGTTGCGTGATTTGCCGATTACCACTGGTGGTAGTCGATGTGTTTCAGCAGCATTAGCACATCCCATTATCATAACACGGTCTTTACTGACTTTGTAACCTGGTGCTGATTTCTCCATATCCGCTGCAAGAGTTTTTCTTGGAAGCAGTTTCCAATAAAGTCCGGACTCATCGGCATTATAGGTTTGTTCGGTTGTGTAGTTTACTGATGACATCCTGAAACTTTTGTATAAACTGCTCTCCTTCAGCTTGGTTAGAAGACAGTTTTTCACCTTAAATGGAAATCTGTCGAATACCATGTCGCTGTTGAAAGTTTTTCAGCCAACCAGTACTGCCTTTAAAATCAGATTGTTTGCCATTCAGTTGTCTGTCGAACCATTTCACCTTCTCCGTGATAATTTGCCCGGAAAGTGGCGTTCCTTTGCTTCTTTCTTGGGAAAACCAAGTGAAGATGGATTTCTCTAAACGGTCATCATTGGCTGTTTTCATTATCTGTCATTTCAGTCCTACACTTGAATCCATTTGTTTTGACTTCTTGATATCGGATATCGTCGATTTATCAACACATTACTCGATAGATAGTTTGCTTGCGGTTTCGCCACGTTCTAGTCGATTTATAATTGACAGCTTCATGTCCAAATCAAGCACGCTATGTTTGCGTTAAACTGGGGGTAGCCATGCCAACGCTAGATAAAAGACGCTGATAAAGTAAACAAGTGAAAGGTTGCTTCGTATTTGCTGTGTATAGATCGGCTCGATGTTACCAGATTGCTCGTGGATTTTCGAATGATAAACTGCCGCATGATGTCCCAATTTTATTGGATTCAGCAAAGCGTTTAACACCTAGAATGATTGACAGAATAAATTGTTGTAAAACCCAGCTTGGCTATCGGACATAAACACTTCAACGCTGTCAACCATCAAACGGCCCGCCGACTGTGGTCATTGGTTGCCGTTGTCTGCTGATAAACCATCAAAGAGGCACACCAAAGTTAGGTCGTTTCGTCACTTTTTCACAGTACTATTAAACTGGCGTCGCTTCTGTGGCAAGACATCCCATAAGTCATTTTCCAAAAAGGATGTGGCTTCTGATACTGGACATTAAAATTAAAAATCGAAAAAAAACCATGGGATCGGCTCATGGCCGCATTTCTTTGACGGCAATGGAACCCCGTACAGTTTTCCCCAGGAAACTTATCTGAACTGCAGTGGAGAAGACATTTGATGAAGTTTGTGTTTTTAGGACACTTTTTATTTACAGTGGGACACTGGTATGGCTTAATAGGCTTGTCTAAATTTAGGAAATTATTGGATACTGTAAATCCTTTCATTGTTTGCCCAGACACTGTAAACAATGAACGTACACGTGAAAGACGTCGGATTACATGTTGATAATAGCTTTATTGAAAGTGTTGCACCAGGAAATCACCCACTACGACTGTTATATTTATTGTTCACAGTTTACTTTTGTATTATACAAAACACAGCCTGACATGTATACAAACTTTGGGGGACACACAGTAGGTTCGGATAACTGAACATTTCGGATAATTGACGTTCGGATAATCGACGTTCTGCTGTAGTTTAAAATGAGTATAGTCAAAGACATACACATATGGGTTCATAAAGGGGAACCGCTCAATCCCATGGATTGCACCAAAGAATCATGGGACACTATTGTTAATGTTGTTTACAATGTTAATCTATCTTTTGTTATCCATTGTTATTTTAATCCAGAAAGTAAATTTGTTGTGGGATTAGACTTAACTGGGAGGTGCCCCTTTAAGACATGTGTACCAATCTGAATGGTTCTAGAGATTAGTATCACAAGATTTTACTCTCCGTGATTCAATATCAGTCCAATTATTAGAAGAAAAACAGAAACTATTTCTTTAGTATAAATTCTAGTAACTGAAATGCAGGATTGAAAAAGAACAAGACAGTACGCAAGATTGATAAACCTTGAGCGAGCACTCCTGAAATTTCAGATCATTGGTACCATGTTTTTAGATACATTCAATGACCTGATACATAAAACCACATTTTTTATTGCTCAATCACTTGACCCTGTATGGCACAAGATCGCAAGCTTCTATCATAAAATTGGGTTATTTATTTGATGCAACGAAACATGCATTCGCAGCAGACGGAAATTCGTTTGAGATGTTACTGGATTTTTGTATTTAGTTTTCCATTACAAACAGCATCATCACTTAGTAAGCTGAGATTGTGCATCGGGATACTGACTGCATAAATGCACAGTGTAGTGCCATCAGAAGACCGATTGTTTGAGAATATTTTGCACCATTACGTCATTTCAAATATTATATTAATTCACAGACAACAAAATAAAGATTTTCAATAACATACAAGTTTTCCTGCAGTTGATGATTGTATGGCAATTACATGGCTACATTTTTTACTCCCGTGTGCGAAGCACAAAAAGGGAGTCTTTGCAGTTAGTGTGTCTGTCTGTGTGTAAG